CTACCCATTGGCGCATTCGCTCTGTCTGGTATCATGTTACTCTGAAGGTGAAGAGGAAATTCGATCAACTCTCGACTCTATTGCCATGACCGATTATCCCAACAGCCATAAGACAATTCTGGTTATCTGCGACGGTATCATCAAGGGCAAAGGAGAAGAATTCTCCACCCCTGACATAGTTCTTGGCATGATGAAAGATCATGTTATTTCTCCTGAGGATGTTCAGCCTTCCTCCTATGTCGCCGTGGCTACTGGCTCGAAGCGTCACAACATGTCCAAGGTGTACATTGGGTTCTATGACTATGGCGAGACCTCCGTCATCCCGCCAGACAGGCACCAGCGCGTCCCCATGATGGTGATTGTTAAGTGCGGCGTCCCCGCCGAGTCGAATCTGTCTAAGCCTGGTAATCGTGGCAAGCGGGACAGTCAAATCATACTCATGTCTTTCTTGCAGAAGGTTATGTTCGATGAACGCATGACAGAGCTTGAGTTTGAGATGTTCAACGGATTGTGGAATGTCACGGGCATCCCGCCGGACTTCTACGAAGTAGTTCTAATGGTTGATGCCGACACGAAGATATTCCCGGATAGTTTGACACACATGGTTTCTGCGATGGTCAAGGACCCGGAGATTATGGGTCTCTGTGGAGAGACGAAGATTGCCAACAAGACGGACAGTTGGGTGACAATGATTCAAGTATTCGAGTACGTTTCCTCCCAAATTTGATCTTGCACTAATTCTAATTATTTCTTAAGGTATTTCATATCCCACCACCAAGCCAAGTCTTTTGAGTCCGTATTCGGTGGTGTCAGTTGTCTTCCAGGCTGTTTCACCATGTACCGCATCAAAGCGCCTAAGGGCGGCCAGAACTACTGGGTGCCCATCTTAGCTAACCCTGATATTGTCGAACATTACTCCGGAAACGTGGTCGATACCTTGCACAAGAAGAACCTCCTACTTCTCGGCGAAGATCGGTATCTGACAACCCTGATGCTCAAGACCTTCCCAAACCGGAAGCAGATCTTCGTGCCCCAGGCCGTCTGCAAAACAGTCGTTCCCGACAAATTCATGGTCCTCTTATCCCAGCGACGCCGCTGGATCAACAGTACTGTACCCAACCTGCTAGAAGTAGTCCTGGTGCGTGATCGGTGCGGTACTTTCTGCTTCAGTATGCAATTCGTCACCTTCATTGAACTTATCGGCACCCTCGTCCTACCTGCCGCCATCGCGTTCACAATCTACGTCATTGTTTCATCAATCATCCGCAAACCAGTACAGATCATTCCTCTCGTCCTACTGGCCCTTATTCTCGGTCTACCTGGAGTTTTGATCGTCGTAACAGCCCACCACATCGTCTACGTCCTCTGGATGCTGATTTATATCGTCTCCCTCCCAATCTGGAATTTCGTTCTCCCAACCTACGCATTTTGGAAATTCGACGACTTCAGCTGGGGCGATACGCGCAAGACAGCCGGCGAAAAAGATAAAGGCCACGGCGGCACCGAGGGCGAGTTCGACAGCACAAAGATCACTATGAAGCGGTGGCGCGATTTCGAAAAAGGTAAGTTTCTTCCTCCTCCTGTTCTCTCTCAACCCTACTAATATCCCCCCAGAACGCCATCTTCGCAACACCACCTGGGCTCAGCCCCAAAATAGCCACTCCCATGACGGGACGTACTCCAAATATTAATCCAAGATTTCAACTGTGATTATTTTCATTTATTTGCGATCTACATAGCTCCGGGAATTTGCATTTCTCATTCCCTTTTTCTTTTCATCTGAGATTCTCAAAGTACAGCGAATGGCGTCTACCTGTTTCCCTGGTTATATATTGTTGTGATTTGAGGCTGTTGCTGCTCAGGAATGAAGCCGCAACATCGGAAATAATTCCTGCCTATCTATACAAAATACCAAGTTGATTGGAAATCAACTTAGTCTTGAAGCTGTACATATAGCCTTTCAATATCCCTCTGAAATAACAATAATCAAGCTTCCTTTTGCTATACAACACATATGTCTACCTAGCTACCAGCGTCTTTGTTCCTACAACACAGCACACACAAGACAATCAACTCCTATCAAATATGCAAACATCGAAGCTTCACAACAGGTTGGGTTCTCGCGGGCGGCTTTTGGCGAGGTCTGCGTAGGAGATAGAGGCTGACACAAGGACAACCCCTCTTCTGTAAAATAAGTCAATTAGAATCAATCAGACAATCCCTTATTTCAACACATAATGGTTTCGGCCATCGTAAAATTATCACGATTTGGAGAATTGAAGTATTCTTCAAGAAAATCGTCGACGAAGGTATACTTGACGTCGTCGCCTTCACTGCAATGTATTTAATCTTGGAATGCGAATTTTTGCCAACAAATTGCCGTGAGAGGAACGGAGGGGGCTGGTCCATACCCATATATAACTCGGTAAACAGGGATAGTGAGTTCTCTGAGTTTTCGGCAACTCATTTCCACATTTTGAATCAAGTATCGAGACGAGACGTAGATGAGGATGGATTGAATGATCTCCGTGGGTAAAGAGAGAAGGTTCAACGGCCGTCTCGGGACCATTTTCAGCAGATCACCATCGCAATGAGTCGCCGGAAATGAATGTGTCTGGGGATTCATCAAGAGTGATTTGAGTTTCTTTAAGGGCCAACTGATGTTAATGAAAAGTTGGGGCAGGGAGGAGGAGGAGGAGGTTAATTTAGCCGTATCGATGGCGGCCGTATCGATGGCGGCCGTATCGATGGCGGGTAGCGGATTCCTAATATTAGCAGCTTCTGGCCCTATAAGCGCACGGTTTGTGCCCACCTGTGACAAGCTGAATGATAGGTGGATAAGCACGAGGTTTCATTGGACGAGGATCCAATGAGAGAGGCGTATTTACCGCCATCTTGCCATTTTAGCCACAGCGACAAATCTTGGCGGATCACACTCTCTTAATTACCTGGTTTCCACGGGATGCCGGAAGCAACAATTGGAGAAGTGTCCAACGAACTTGGTATTACTCAATTGGTCTATTAAACCCGTCACGTATTTTGATTTAAAATGATAAGGTATAGTTAACATTCGATCGGCTGACCTTTCAAAAAGGTCTGCGAGAGCAAGAAAGGCAACAATTGACGGCAAGTTTGGGGATACACAAACTGGTTGATTTGCCCAATGTCGATGAGAGAATATAGCGGACAGCCGAGTATCGACTATTGGGCCCCGTGTGGTTCGAATTCAATGAGTGTTAGCGAATGCAGCGCTTACAGTGCAAAATTAATAGGCGTGCGAGGTCGTGAGTTGTGACGACGCACGCAAGTGGGGCTTGTGCGAGGTCATCTCACCCATCACATAAATAGTTTCCTCGCTTTGTATAGCTTTGTATAGCAAGAAAAAGATGGCTTCCTGGCGGGTAGAATCTTGTCTTGGACCTGACACGACTTAGGGGTGGTTCATAGAAGATAGGTTGATGCGGTAGCCCGCGAAAAATGGTTGGGATGGCAGGTCGGTAGTGAACTACGTAAGTATCTCTGCCTTAAATATGAGGCTGAACTTTCATGTCGGAAGAAGCAATTTTCCGGGGTCTGTTGATTGATCGCCGATCGTGACCACATCGTCGGTCGGGCACCTACGAATTTGCGTCAAGACTTGACTCCTCTTTCCAGCACTCGATGGCTGATAACAGCTCCCGAAATTACAAGGATCTTTATCTACAGGCAGAAGAGAGACGGAAGCAGCGATGCCATCTGATCGTCGTAGCGCTTCGTCTATCTAGGAATGAATAAATTCCGCCTCGGTCATGCGAAGTACCTGACTGGCTGGGCGTGCTCGGGCTTCTGGCGTAACATTAAAAAATGAGAAGCCTTGCCCGCCCCGAAGAGGCGCTGACAGCTCACTGGTTTGACCGGGGTACGGGGTCGGTCCGTTTCTTGGGGTCGCCCGCGACGGCCTCGCCGGCTATGAGCCGTACGGCGATGTTGCCTGATGGTCTGGAGTGATCGGGCGGTATACGAGTCGCAATCAGGGCAGGCATAGCCCTCGTGGATAGGTAACCCGACAATAGGTCGACACTCCGGGGCCGGTGGTCGGAACGGTTCCGTAAGAGGGTCGAACGGGGTCGCCTTGCACACTTCCTCGGCGACTGCTGCTCGTTGCGCCTCGGTTCTCGCGGTAGGATGAGTGCGATGGCGTTTGTTCCGAACGTGACCCAGAATTGAGGCTGGGGCGACTCCGGTCTGGCAGGACTTGCATATCCAGAGACGGTGTTCCGCGTTATACTGAAAAAGATCCATAATACTTAGTCAACGAATGGCCTATAGTCGGTATACCGAAAGATCTTAGTTATGAAGGAAGGAACAGTAACTCCTGAGGTGATATTAGTTCACTTTAGCCCCTGACGGTAGCCTACACTACACGTTCACGTAAGACGCGACGCGTTCGGTTCGTGATTGAGATAGATCGCACTTATAGTATTATTCCAATGTAGATCAGCCTAGACCTATCTATTCGGGCGACAGCCTCGTGAAGCGGGAGTACGCACTCCAGAGCGAATCAGAGGGCGAAGAATTGGTATCGGGGGTAGACTACAATTGAGAATAGAGTATAGGGCACGGTTGAACAGCCACAATCTCCGCTTGTCCCACGGGACAAGTCACTATCCAGGGCCTTCTCTAAGAGCTACTCACAACGCTGCCCGGAATCATCGCAGTCCCCGGCTCTGGCTCGGATGAATTCAGCTTTAGCGCCTACCATTGAGAGCCAACCTGCCGAAACACAATCTTTGCAAGGGAACAGCTCTAGAGAATCATGCCGCAGTGATTCAACAAGAGGGCTGTCTCGGGAACGCAGACAGTCCTCGTCCACTTCGCGCCGCCTCTGGAACGAATCCGAAAGTCGGCTGTCTCGTGCGGGGTCGCGGAGGTCGCCAACAGTCCTATCATCTCGAGAAAAATCGCCATTCACGCTGAGCTCTGGCCTGTCGACTCAACGCGACACGCCTGACCGTCGATTTATGACGCCAATCGTCACCGAGAGACAAGCACATAGCTCCGACCAATCGATACTCCGCGACACGATTACATCCCACGCTGGATCATCGGTGAGCGAGATCGATGATGCCGATCTCGAGGAGCTCGCGAAGGGGGAGTGGTTGGGTCGCAAAAGAGAGAGCAAGTCACGGAGAGACGCCAGAGCGGCACGCAGGAAACGAGAAGAGGAGGCCCGGAAACGTAAAAGGTCACCGGGTTATTGGAGGCAGCGCCGGGAGGAGGAAGATGCAGAGATTGCGCAGATGGCAAGGGAAGAGAGGCCGTCGAAGCTCAGCAAGCCACGTGTGAAAGTATTCTGGTCATTGAACGAAACCAGGCGCCTGGTACGATTGTGGGAAAGGCATCCCAATGAATGGGCAAAGATCGAACGATTGGACCGAGCGAGCGACGACCCGCAGTTAACCACCTGCACCCAGGTGGATTTGAAAGATAAGATGCGGAACATCAAAATATGGATGCTGAAGAATGGGAGACAGCTCTCCGCAAAATGGGCGCGCATTAGTTTAACCATGGCGCAAAAGCGAGCAGTTGCCCAAGCTCATTGGGGTGATACCCAGGGCAGGGAACGAAATCTGACCTGTTAGAAATTACATCTATATCGGTATTGGTTAATCACCGGGAAAATCTAGAATAGATACTTGATCAAGAAGACGATCATTAACGCTGAATGAATGAATATTGAGTTATGGTAACCACTGTACAATTACCACAGGGCGGATATATATATTGGGTAGTGCGCGAAGCGGGTCAGTCTCTGTATATGATGGAAAAGCCAAAATGTGATATGTCGAATTAATCGTGGCCAGGGCTGACCGCTCGGCAAAATCCTACGGGACCGTTCAGGGGAAGCGGGTTTTCTCGCATGTGTCCTCCGGATTACAACTCCCAACTTTGCTCAACTGAATAGCGACCCTAGCCTATGAATCCCGATGGCCCGATAGCGGCGCAGCGCCGGATTAAGGAACGGCTCCAAGCCGGGCAGACCCCTGATGAGGATGATTTCGACATATTAGATATGTTCGGAGTCGGACTCCATGATGATCCTGAGGAGATGGACGAATTCTGGCGGAATAAAGCAGAGTGGCGGATTCAAGATCCGGGGTCAGGGTGGGCCCACCGCGCGGGGCTAGGCCAGCTTCTGCAAGGGGAGGACCCTGCCTTGGTAGTGTACCTGACGGACCCCTCATGGAAGGGTGGCGCGGCCAACGAGGAGATCATGCATCGGATCTGGGTTGCCTTTGGAACCCTCGTGGAGCTTAATGAGCGGCTCGCGAAGCACAGTGAGGACTGCTATCAGAGCGAGTTGGAAGGGATCGAGAAACAACCGAAATCCCGCCCCGTTCTGTTGCAGTTCCCGAATAAGGACGATCGCGAGTTCTTCACGAGGCCATGGCTGCAGGTATTAATGTATATTGCACGAACCCAGGTACGTCGCGCGAAACAGCGCTTACCGAGGCGTCGAGCAGCGGCTAGTGGATGGGTAGGGTCATAGCTAACCAGGCGGTCTACATTCCCGAGGACCGGCAGCATCGCTGCTACAATTCGCAATAGCAGGCGGCGTGGGATCGGTTGCGCCAGGCCGCCCGGGAGGAAATCAACACTCCTCATCGCACGAAGACGCCGCGGGAGGCGGCCACCCCCCGTGTGAGTCCGTTGCAGCTCGCATGTCTACAGTTCTGCATCGAATTGCTGGACCAGGGCTACCACAAGTCCCCGTATGAATGCGCGTTAGTCTGCGTCTTGGGCGCACTGAGCTACAATTGCGATGGGTGGCTGAAGCCACAGCCCCACCACAGCATCGTCTGTCGAATACATCGGATCGCGCAGGGTCTCGTGCTGCACTATACCCTGCTGTTAGGGTCGGATGCAAAGGAGATCTTGCGGGGGATCTCCGCCAGAGCGACTGCGCGAGCGGCAATGGAAGATGTGGTGGAATTGCCGGGGATGAAGGATTGTTCGACGACGCGGTCCCATTGGGAATGGCTGCATGGTTGGGTTGAGCATAAGATGCTGGCCTCGACAAAGACGCCAATAGGGTGGATGATCATGATGTCTTTGAAGCTGGGTTTGCTGAATGCGAAGGGAAAACCATAGCAGCAGATAGCTATAAAAATTGGATTTAGTCTGTTAATATTTCCCAGACGAGACGCGAATCAAGGAAAATAGTAGGATCAGGCACTGGCTGACGATGGGGATAAGAAGAATCATCAATTTACTCAAGAGTAAGTACTTCACGATCTAGTTCTCGAAACGGGCCGCCAAGAAAATCCATGGGCCGACAAATATATACAGGTCTTCTTGGGCGGGTGGGAAAAGCCCAAAACTCATACCCAACAGTCCATGGGCTGCCCATATAGGCCTTGCCCAAGCCCGCCCATCATCGGTAGCCTAAAGGTTGTTGTTTATTAGGTGTCGCTTTTCACTGGTCACTTATCACTGGTCGCTTTTCACTGGTCGCTTTTCACTGGTCGCTTTTCACTGGTCGCAGTAAACCTGTCCCTGCCCTACAGAATGGGTCAAGATTTAAGTATTCCATTTTGAAGGTCTTGCTCTTGACAAGGCCGAAAGCAGGAATCAAGAGCACAAGGAGATGTGGAAGAATCGGCGTGCGTCGCTCAGGTTCGTGCTGGGGGAGTTGGGGTGGGCTTAGTAATAACGTTATGTGACGGTTTTGACAGATTGGGAAAGAGGACCCACCCACATCCAGTGAATTCCAACCGCGAATAACTCCACAAATACTAGTCGCAGAAGGATTCTGAAAATACCTTCATATAGCCTAAGCAATTCTCTATTCAGCCGTATTAAAATCAAGCTAAGTCAATAAGGGTGAAGGTGGTATGCGAATGCATACTTATGCCTAATAGATTTGACAGATTAAGCCATGCCAAGATTCATAAAACTGCTGATTCATTCGAATAAAAACCCGTTTTTAACGGCTGTATCGTAATCGTTGTGCTTGATGTTTGAAATTCCTACCTTTCAGTTTGAAAAGTAAAGAAATGCAATTGTATTTCTATGATGTAGTATCTGTAATGAAGTGTTAGCGTGACTTCGCCATTTCTGCCGGTAACTTTGTGGTGACTGGCAGATTGGGTTCCACGCCCTGCAAGAGCTCGCGCTCTTGTTTTGTGTTACCTGAGGAGGTCTCCCTCCACCAGGCCGACCGTGTCTTGCAGAAAGCCCTCACATATGCCCCATCCGGCGGTGTATGTCGGTCACTCTCCCCTAACCAAGCTTGGTGCCCCAATGTCTGAACACAAACGACGGGTTGCCCGTGGTAAAGCCTTAACGAGGTCCGTCGGTGGCCACCAGCCACCAACCAACCCCTTCCAGATTGCCCGTGTATCTCCCAGGAGGATGCCCGTGTCTCGGTGGGGCCCGTGTCTCGAAGAACAGCTGCACTCCGGGGCGCACGTGGCTGGACCTTAACGAGGTCTGCAGCGCAGTCTGTCTCCGAGCCTTAACGAGTTCGAGTATTAACAAGGCCTTTGCCTTGAACGAGGTCTATCCAAAGTCAGCTTGACTGCCTGTGTCACCGGTTCACTACCGCCTCGCCGCATCTCGCACGATGCTGTTTCGGACCGTATGCAAGCTCAGGGGTATCCTGTCTTCTTTTTAGGGCGACACCACTTTCACTGGTACTGCAAGACCAACTTCTGGGCCTGAGTGCGAGTCGGGTAAAAAGAAGTCGGATGGTTTTCATATCCGTATTCCCCTGATTTGGTGTGGTTGTGCCGTTGTGTCCCACGCCAATCGCACCGGGACGGACCGCACAACAACGGCGGATTCACTTTGGTCTCCCCAGCGGGGATTAACACCGGACACCATGAGAAGTTATGAATTCATTGTCCCAGTTGCCTGGCAAGACTGCTGCCCAGTGCGAGCTCATTTTGGTTGTGGGGGGGGGGGGGGGGGGGGGTTGGAGTGTCTTTAAATAAAAATTAATTTTTCGACCAATTAAAGGGAGTATTTTTATTGGGGTTGCCTCACCATGTCCGTAGTTAGCCTCACGTGATATCTACACCGACATTTCTGAGGGGCTCTTCCTCCTACAACTGCCTCACGAGAGTCAGTTGCTGGCCTCTGGGGTAACTCGTCATCTCTCACGCAGTCAAGTGTCAATTTTGTCCCTCCCCACCTTCCCTCTGTATATAGAATCCACTACAATACAGACACATTGCCTCCCTACAAGGGAGCGCGGACGGGGCCTATCTGACGCTACGGCCTACGACCGCAGCGACAGGTGACCTGTTGCGGCCAAACTAAACTCTTCTTGTTCCCCTTGACTGCGTGAGGTCACCAATAAACCATCTTGAATTTTGGCTCAGTTGTGACAGCGGCAACCTCTCTGAGGATCTCAATTGCCAATGTCATACAGGCTCACCGGCTCCGCTATCTGCACGGAATAAGTACCCGTTCCGGCCTTCTGCAACCATCACCTCTACCATTTGAAGTTGGTCTAAGCCAATTACTCCCCTGAGGACCTGACAAGAAGATCAAACACCACTTTCCCATATCAGACTTAACAAGCATATTCGTGCGAAGGAGCAAACGTGGATCGTCTATATGTGGCCTAGTCTCAAGCAGTCTCCTTGACAAAGTCGACACCTTTCGTTACGTTAGTATGAACAAGTGAAACCTGAAGAAAAGTGTGATTTACCTCTGTTGATATTTTTCTTTAAATCCGGCAACGCCCTTTTTAACATGTTCTCCTCGTAGGGTGATAATTTGTCCACTTGATGAATCTTTTGCATTCCATCCGGACCGAGTTCAACCATAGAGGCGAAAAAGTCAATCCCTTGATCTTTATATAGGGGATTATCGACAAATGCCGTCTCGATGATACCTTTCTGGCCATGATTTGCTCTCAAAAGAGAATCAGCAAACCGTGCGCCCGCAAGAGCCATGGCGAGAGTGGCCGAGCCTGCGCCATCCTTAGCTTGAACGACTTCATCGCCAGCAAATTGGATATGTTGAATAAGTTCATCAAGAGTCGTGCCGCTGATATCAGGGTGCCCGGAATGAGAAACCAACGGAATGATGGTAATACCAGAGTGGCCGCCAATTATAGGAACATTTTCGTTGGCTGGATCAGTTCCCTTAATCTGAGAGATAAATCGTGATGCCCGGATTGCGTCTAGAGTGTTGACGCCAAAAAGACGTTTTGAATTGTAGACTCCCTGAGATTTTAGAACCTCTGCTACTATAGGAACAGTGGAGTTGACCTGTGTTTAAAAATTGTCAGCAGGTATCAATTACTCATATCTCAATAAACCTACCGGATTGGTAATGACGAGAATGTTGGCATTTGGAGCAGCGTCGGCAATAGCCTTAGCAAGATCACGAACAATAGAGGCATTAGAAGAAAAAAGATCTAGAGCATAAGTTTCAGTAATAAGTTTTTCAGCTATGAGACTGATTCACTGACCATCACGAGTCATTCCAGGCTTTCGAGGAACACCAGCTGGGATGAGAATCATGTCAGAGCCGTTCAGCGTATGCGCTAGACCACTAGCCGAAGAGCCGTAGCCAACGACCTTGCTTTGTGTATTTATGTGACTCAAATCAGCTGCGACACCTATGAGAGGAGACTATCAGCCCAGGCATGTAACAGAGAGAAAATTGTAATTACCTGGACCACCTTTAATATCGTAGAGAGCCAGCTCGGAAACCAGAGGATTCAACTTCATAAGTAAGGCCAAAGACTGGCCAATTCCACCTGCTGCCCCAAGGATAGAGACTTTTGAAGACTAAAATACTCGCTTAGCAACCAAGATCAGGAGTTAGTAGTAAGTGGAGTGAATCTCTCTCAAACTTACATGGACAGCCGAAGCACTAAATTGCCGTCTCGGAGGATGGTAGAGATTTCGCAATGTTGCTGCCCGCACTGGAAAAGACATCATGCGACTCATTTTGGCAAAGGCAAAATGTTGAATGTATGTATAGATGAACGTTGTTGTTGACAGATATTTATGTCGCTTTAACGAAAGACGATGTAAAAATCCGACGATTCGGCCGACAAAGGGTTATATTATAGCACGAAGTTTCCCTAGCGTCATTTTGAATCGGCGAACTGATTCTGGCCAACAAAAGCCCGCCTTATCCGTCTTATCCGGATTTCCACCGCCTGCAATGATGTATAAGGCGAAAGAGACCTGGGGTCGTATTGTACTACCCGCAGGAAATTTTATCCACCCACGCAGCTGTTCATCTTCACTGGTCAACGCTTGTCTCGGCCGAATTAGGCTACACACAAATTTGATAACGTGGTTCATCACCTCGCCGATCACATCACGTCGCCGATCATATGACCTCGCCGATCACTTTCACGACCTAACACCACCATCCACATTTTTCAAGTAATATCTCCACATCAAATAACTAATGCAGGTCCAATCAAAAGAAGCCAGAATCATTATTGCCCTCAAATCTATCCGATCATCTAGGAAGTTAAGCACCCGTACTGCTGCAAAGATCTACAATGTTCCATATACCACACTTGCCGACAGAATGAAGGGCTGCACACCTAAAACCGATTACCGGCCTGTCGCTCGGGGTCTGACTGAGATAGAAGAAGAGGTCATAGTTCAACACATCTTAGACCTAGATTCAGGAGGATTTCCGCCCACAATCGAAGGTGTGCGCGAAATGCCCGATTACATTCTCGCGTCGCAGGGTGCGTCACGCGCCGGAAAGCAATGGCCATATCGCTTTATTAAGCGACGAGAGGAGTTACGCACGCGTTTTTCTCGCGCCTATGACTTTCAAAGAGCTTTCTGCGAAGATCCTGAACTTATGAGCACGTGGTTCCAACTTGTGTTTAACATGCGCGCCAAGTACGGAAGAGTAGTGGGGTTGGGTGAAGCCCATGTCCATTCTTATCTAATCAATCCCCGAACCCTAACATAATTCACAAGCGAGCGGCCCACCCAGCCATTTTTTCGCGTCCACACGCGTCCTTCTATTTTCTACCAACCACCATGCCTCCAAAACGTGCTCAATCAAGCCGAAATTCTATCGAGCAAGAGGGCCGCCTCGAATTAGCTATACAGGCTATAAAAAACGAAGAAATCACCTCTATCCGCGAGGTAGCACGTCGTTTTAATGTGCCTCGTACTACCCTCCGCATGCGCATTACCGGCCGCCTATTTCGCCCTCAAACACGCGCCAACAACCATAAACTGACCCAAACTGAAGAGGAATCGCTTAAGAAGTGGATATTATCAATGGATACGCGTGGAGCAGCCCCTAGGCCAGCTATGGTGCGAGAAATGGCGAATCTTTTGCTTGCAAAGCGCGGTTCAACCCCAATCCAGACGGTCGGCGAAAACTGGGTCACAAACTATGTCAAAAGACAGCCAGAGCTAAAGACTCGTTTTTCACGTCGATACGACTCTCAGCGAGCAAAACAAGAGGATCCAAAGGTTATTCAAGAGTGGTTTGATCGCGTACAAACTACAATTCAGCAATATGGTATCCTACCGGAGGATATCTACAATTTTGACGAGACTGGCTTCGCGATGGGCCTTACAGCGACCGCAAAGGTTATTACCCGAGCAGAATACTACGGTCGGCGATCAGTTTTACAGCCAGGAAATCGCGAGTGGGTGACTACAATCGAGTCAATTAGCGCTTCTGGGTGGGCGCTTCCGCCCACGATTATCTTTAAGGCCAAACTACATAATCTAGCTTGGACTGAGAACCTTCCGAGAGATTGGCGCTTTGAAGTTAGTCAAAATGGATGGACGACAGACGAGATTGGCCTTCGATGGCTTCAAAAGCTATTCATACCATCAACGAATAGCCGTACGCATGGCCGATATCGATTATTAGTCCTTGATGGGCACGGTAGCCATCTTACGCCCTATTTCGACCAAATTTGCTCAGAAAACGAGATTATCCCTATTTGTATGCCAGCGCATAGCTCGCATCTTTTACAGCCACTTGATATCGGTTGTTTTGCGGTTTTAAAGCGCTTATATGGAACCTTGGTTGATCAAAAAATGCGGCTTGGCATTAACCATATTGACAAGTTTGATTTCCTCACTGCCTACCCAAATGCTCGCGATAGCGCTTTTCAAGCGCTTACAATAAAAAATAGCTTCGCAGCAGCGGGTTTAGTGCTATTCGATCCAGAACGAGTGCTTTCAAAGCTTAATATCCAGCTTCGGACGCCTACACCCTCAGGAAGCCGCCCAAGTAGCCGATCAAGTGTTTTTACCCCTAAAACACCAGCGACCGTCGCCGAATTGCTTAAACAAGGAGCGTCAATCCAGGCTTTCCTTAAACGACGCTCAAATAGCCCCCCATCGCCCTCGCAGACCGCGCTAAACCAGCTTATCAAGGGCTGCCAGCTCGCTATGCAGAATGGTATATTACTTGAGCAAGAAGTTAAGGAATTACGGGCTGCCAACGCAGCGCAGAAGCAAAAGCGCGCACGGGTTAATAGACGCATAGCCTACGAAGCTGGTATGTCAGTGCAGGAAGCTCAGGAGTATTTACAAACCCATGAGCCTATTATACAGCCTACTGCACCGTCTCCAGCAGCCCCTAGCCAGCCTATTCAGCAAGCGGTAGCACCAGCGCGACGACGTCAATACACCTGTTCTATATGCGGTGAGAAAGGGCATAAGTCCCCCACATGTCCAGTTAGGTAGAATAATTAATATAAAGGCGTTGTGGTTGAAAAAACTAGATGTAAAATGAAAGTAGGTGGTTAGGTGGGCCGCTCGCTTGTGTGGGCCGCTCGCTTGTGAATTACGTTAACGTATTCCACTACCGAGTGGGCCACACCACCGAGTGGGCCACCGCAGAACACCATATTAAATGCTGTTTTTTGCAACCTGATATCTCAACAGCCATCGCTCTAATTTATTTCAATATAAGTATAGTGGTATTTATAAGCATTCTTTATAGTAGATATTAATCTGAGGCCGATCAAAATGTCCCATATCCACAATACCATAAATTACGTGGTAATTTAGCTAAATAAACCAGAAATATATATATAGCAAATTCTCCATCACCAAAATTTCCTAGACTCTATTTAAGTACTACATTTACTGTATAGAACATAGTCCTAGAGTTTGCTATCTATAGGAGCCCTGACTGTTGAGATATTAGGTTGTAAAAAAACAGCATTTAATATGGTGTTCTGCGGTGGCCCACTCGGTGGTGTGGCCCACTCGGTAGTGGAATACGTTAGTTATGCTACTAGCAAAACGTGCCGTGTCTGTAGCAATTCCCATTCAAGTCATCGGGGACTATTCCAAGAGCCAAGGGCGCTGCCGATAACGGCAAGGTGCAAGCGGTAATCCCCGAATCACATGGGCACACGAAGCTTTCTTCAATCCTTTTTTCTCCGTAGAAAGCAGGAGTGTCCCCTTCGTGTCGCGAATTAGACGTAGATATGACGTAGATATGACGTAGATATGACGCATTTGTGACGCAGTTTGGATGGTACAGCGTTATCACCTGGCATTGAAAGGAAGCCAATCTCCACCTATCCCACATCGCGTTTCTGCGAGCCACGAAATTATGATCTATTACAGACACCTCTCCGGGCAACGTTTTGCCTTCAGCCGCTGCAGAACCTCTGCGTCGAACTATCTTAACAATGGTTTGATGCAAAGTCCTCCAAGTTCGAGCTCGAAGTTTTCTTCAAACTCGTATCTTTCGCAGGATATGCCTCCAGAAACGCCCAAGAGAGCTTGTGGGGTTGCTGAGACAACCGGCGAGGCAGGCCCGAAATATGTTAGCGGTATTTTAGGACCACTCTCCTGGTATGGCTTCTTTCAGCAATATTTAGGATGTAGCATACTTGCTTATCTCTACTCCTCAATAGGCTCATTTTTGGTAGCTCTATCTTGACTGCCTGCGGATTCTACCTCTTCTTTCCTACGTCCACTTCAATGACAGGTCAAAAAGTAGCCAAGAAAATTTTAGGTGTGACCCAATCTATTCTCCAAATTAATAATATTCGTTAATGATATATTATAGACGATCGAAGGTCGATAGAGCACAAAGAAGGTGATCAAGAAGAGGCCGAATCTCCTGAGCAGAAATTGAAGGAGAGATCTTTCCAAAAGTGAAGTGTTACGCACAGACATCTAATGCTCACCAACAAATTGAAGTTTTGCAGCTGTTGTAATTCAGAGAGGAAAGTCGATGAAGTGTTGTTTCTTGACGAGCACGAAGATGTTATACATATAACGCGAAGTCAAAATTGATTTTAAGTCCCACCTCAGCAAAGTCTAGTGGCCTCATGACACTGGCACCAGTAAAATCAATGACACAAGGTGGTTGTTACCTATCCAACAAGTTAGTACTTAAGGAGCAGTCTATTACGCGTTGCTAACTGGTCATGGTAAGTTGCGTGTGCGAAGGTATACGTACCAAGTGGTTTATGGTCATTTTTAGAGTAAAATTATGCTTTTAATGTAGTTCAATCGATTTTAATACTTTCCACCAATCTCGCGAGTTCCCTAGACACTTGTATCTGATTTGTCCAGTCCATCGATTCGAAGCTTCCATGCATACTGTAGAATTCCAGGATTTGGCGACGTTCAGGTGACAAATGCCTGGCTTGCCCAATCACCCACATGGCAAGGTGTGTTCTGAGCTGCATCAGTGATTGCCCTTGCGAATTCATATGCAGTCATTTCTTATTCCCCGGATTCATAGTGGTCTAATAGCAAAAGAAGGTTGACAAAGAGGAAGCTATATTTTCGCAATCCTCTTTAACAAGTGGGTATTGCATAGTAGGTAGCACTTGACGTGAAAATCAATATGAAGTTTATCAAGAGAGTTCCTGTATCATTGAATCCTTATTTGTGGGATTTTTGTATCTGTCAGTGTTTGAAGGGAAACAAACATCTTTCCTGATATAAAACACTTCGGAGTTTCGTGACATCTATCAAAACCTCTCAAGATGTTCACGAAATAATCTAAACACTTTGCGGAACTTGCCCGTCTCTCGCATATCGTTGAGCCTCCATATTTTCCCACTCTTTGAGACACGGCGCAACGAAAATTTTTCTTTGCCATGTTTGGATAATTGTCCCTACGCTGACGACAACCCAAAGCAAAACTACCGCCACGGAAAAAATCTGCGCATGTCAGAGCTCGTAATGTGAGCAGAACAAATGAAGAGCAGGACTTACGGTGCCCAAGACTTTAAAGAACAGTGAAGGAAGCTCCTTCGCAAGAGTGGTTGTCGAGACGGTGAAGACACCGATAGGGAAAGTGAAACCCCACCATCCCATATTGAAGGGGAACTTGGAGCGTCTAATTGACGCAAGGGCAAAGAAAAGCCACACAAGGGCAAATCCCCACATGATAAGTCCAACCATGAAGCCAACAATATAAAGCACGGTTCCAGCTGCAACTTGGGCAGGCAGACTATTGGTCTGGGGAAAAACTCTCATAGCCTCCTTTCCAAGTTGCATGATACCAAACGACCCTTGGCCCAATGGTCCTAAAGGAAGGAAAACCGACACGATGACTTCTCGAGGTGGGAGTTTATGAATCGTGAGTCGATGAAAGTACATGACGAGCACCATCATTGCCAAGGGCACCCCAGTTCCCCAGAGAATGTAACTCACAATAATGGTCCAGAGCGCGTGTTGTTCATTCTTCAGAACCGATGCCACAATGCCACCGGATGCAGCAGCAACAATGGTGGACACAATAGGAAGCAACCAGGCTGCAGTCATCCCGGAGAGCTGATTGGAATGGCGAGACATTCTGCAATTTCTGATCAGCATGTTTCGTAACAGATGCTACCTCTGAAACCTTGCTTACATGGCAAAAGGCAGATACATGTTGTTCGCGAGCGAGATCACAACGTCAATCCACCACAGCGTCCATGCCAAAGTCGCCGCCCATGAACCCCAAGCAGGTACGCACACGAAGCAGATCATGTTGATAATAGTGGCAAGGCCCATCGGAAACGTGCCTGGTGAAGCATTAGTATCTGATGAAAACTTCTTTATGAGGTAGGGAAAAAGACCGAGAAAGAGAGACTGCGTGGGATGGTTTAGCATTGATGTCCAGAGACCTCGGAAGAGCGTGTAGCGAGCGAAGGAGATAATGCTAAAAAGGACAAAGAGGAATACATTGAAAGCGAAGACAATCACAGACAGCCAATATAGCCAAACGCTATTATAGGGAAGGTTGTGCAAGAGAATCGAAACGATACCCGTTCCCATAGTAGCGCTGAACTAGAAGATGGTCAGCCAGGGATATTGTTGCGACCAAACAAATGATTCCTACCCATCTGCCGAAGAGAAGTTAGCCAAGGCCGAAGTCAGGGAAGCGGTTAACAAACGATGGAGTGAAGTTTATAATGACTCGTCTCAACCCTTTTTGGTTTTTTTCGTGGATGATATTTTCGAAATGATCAAGGCTTGTCTCTTCCCAGCCACCGTGAGTTGAGCATGGGTGACCTGCAGCCTGACAATTCGTACAAGTCCCCGAGGGATCCATGATTGTCAAGGGAAAAGAGCTCTGCAAGAGAGCCAAAGGATTTCAAATTGAGAACGCCTGGTAGGAGGACGGATTATCTACTAGTCGGCCCCTCGTAAATGTTTCAAAAATTTACGAGGGGAATTTATGAGGGGCCATGGGGCCGATTAGTAGGTGGCGCAGGCGGTGAGCTAGCGGGTCTACTCCTCTTCCTTTGCACCAATTAGGTTCATCACTGTGCGACCGCATTCCACGCGGCATTCTAAAGGGTTTTTTGGTCGCCGAAGGCATTCGCCGAGTAAACAATGAGCAAGCACGTCACACGGCAATAACGACGTAACAGATTCACAAAAAACTCTCTCTATTGAAAAAAGTCATAAGCACACCCTACTAGGTATTTTCAAGGCTAATCAAAGTGGAATCTTTTTGAATTTGCGATGCATGCCTAGATTCAAAAGTGAGTGAGCGGTTGGTCATCTTGTTCAGCCAGCCTCCTCATCCCGCACTCGGTCGAAATCAAAAACAATCAGCAGAATTATCAAATCTTCTCGGCCGATATCCTGCTGGTTTCCTCTTCGGCTCACCACCAATGTACGCCTGCTTAGTTCGTCAAATGACTTAGGTTGGTGTGCTCTAATGACCCAAGGGAAATTAGGCAAACTTTATTTCCCATTCAATAAGTATCCATAAGACTTGCGTGTTCGCTGCAACCAACGCCTTGTATCACCACGAACTCTATTCCGACAATGCCTCTGGTGCCTACCTCTGCTCTCTAGTGCACTGCTTCAACCAGCAAAATATGACCATCACAAAACCTTATTACTTGGCTCTCATCGCCCGGAAGAAGCTTATTCGTGAGGCTTCACGGGCAGACTATGATCTACGACTGTTGGTCGGCCATGCAAATCTCCTTGACTCCTTGGTGCTTGAGCAGTCAGGTATCCAAGGCAATCTAGATCTTGAACTTTAGCGGCAAACAAATGGCTGTGACAAAGAAACCTCGACAGACGCAACCTGTCTCGAACACCCACTTTTTTTATTCCACCAAATTGATCTTTACATCAGTACGGTAGTCCCTCGGCTGCCGCTTTCACCTTGTGCACCCTATTCCCCGGACCGTACATTAAGAGATCTGGATACGAATGATGGGAATATGGAAGATCAAAGTAACTTTGATTTTCTGCTGGTTTATTTCACTAGCCACCACGCTGGCTGCAGGCTTGCTTGGTCCGGAGACGAGATCTGATTTATGGAGTCCCTTCTCACCTCTTTTCCGTCTCTGCGGAGTTGAAAGTATATCCACAAGACATCAAGATCTTAATAAAATAATCAAATAATCAAATAATTCAAGGTCAAAAGTCTCCTAAAAGAAGCCACAGTTAGCGCTGAGATGTGAGTCGCGTGACAGCAAAAAGCAGAACGGGTGTTTTTCCCCGGTATAGCTGCTTCTTTAGCTAGCAAATCACTCGTGTCATTCCCGAGTATTTCGCAATGCCAGGCGTCCACTGTAGGCGAATCTATGTGCCGTGAGCACCTTGGTGTTGTTCCTGGCTGCTTGTCAAATGGCAGGGACGATCTGTTCCGAACTGATTGGGCTTGAAATTTCCTGATCGGCGATTGTTCGGGGGCTAAACCCTGTTTGTTTGCCGACTCCGTTGCTAATGATCTACAGTCTAGCCATTATGAATGAGTAGTGTGATATAGCCTTGCCTAGAGTATGATCTTTATCACCAATCAAGGACGAGTTCCAAATTAATGTTATTTGCCGAGGGTACTGAGATGGAGATCAATACTTAATTGTTTCAGATCCACACATAAAAAGGAGAGTATATACAGTAAACTTCCAGTTATAGCATAGCCCTCCATCCAAGAGAAATCCCATGTTATAAGTGAGATATGTAAAATGTGAACAACGATTTTATATAACGTAACTGGTAAGCGAGTGGGCCATCCTTCAAAAAGGGATGTTATGAGCGAGATTATGCAATATATGGGCATGTCAATACTGAAAGTTGACTGTATTAGAGAGAAATCAGAATCATTATCTCTCGGACATACTTTAATTGCCTAGATTTTGAATTAAACTTGGTATACTAAAAATATCTCTTCATGAAAAACGTGGAGACACTCATATGCAACGTTTCCTGCATATTTGAGTGTTAGGCGACTTGATGCCGCGGCACACCCGGGAGTGTTTCCGAACTTGTCATGGGAAATGGAGAAAACAAATCGCCGCAAGTTGGATCGACGAATTCTGATAAGAGCCTTGATGAGAATGAATTGTTCACGGCATCATTTTCTATAGGTGGAAGGATGGCGGCCTCACCAGAAGCCATATTGGGTCGTTGGTTATCTTGGCCTGGCGTCGTTGGGCCTTCGAACGGTGAATACTCCGTAAAGTTAGTGGCTATTCGAGCAGCTGTCTTTCTGAGATGAAAGTGAGCTTCTTGCGCTAGAGACCACTTCGCCGTGAGAAGTTTGAGACATCCAAGAACGAGCACGACCCGATTTTGATGGTGGTCGTAACATTCGGACCCATGTATCGCGGTCGCAACAAGCTGAACGAGGCCACACAATATTGAGCCAAACACGACTGTAGGACTGTAGCCTTTGGCATCAGAACGCACAGATAAAAGATCAGACAGCTTTTTGGAAGCCTCTATGACTTTAACATCGTGTACATGGCGTGTCAAGGAAGGCGAAAGACGGACAGGAGTCACTGGGCATATTGAAAAAATCGAATCGGGAAATGCCGGTCGGATATTGCTTCGGGGTAAATGCAGGAGCATGGCAGCATATTGGATTGTGAAATGAGCCTGAAATAACATCTCATCGATGTTTCCGTACATGTCCACAATGTCAATTTTTTGTTGCGGAAGGTGGTGAATCCAACTGACAAGAGTGTTTGCGACGGCTTGCAAGTGATCATGTTGAGTCTCGGGCAGGCTGTTGAGAACCAAAATCCTGGCCAGAATACGGACTGCTTCAATACGATAAGCAAACGATGAGAAAAGATTGACTTCCTCATCTGCCGCAAAAACTCTGGCTCTGAAAGACGCAAGACATTGAGGTTTTGGAATAAAGCGAAGAGATGCATATGTCGACTCTTCGCATGGCAACGACACAGAAGAGAAAACATCGCTGCATCGCAGGATGACCTTTTCATGCAGGGAGGCCATGTAGATTTCCCAAATTGAGAGTTCCCACCACGTTCGTCGCAGGCTCTCGGCCTCATATCCTCTCTCTTCAGAGTATTTCGTCGCAAAATCTTCTTGATGCATTCCAAGGTCCAAAGCAATGTTGATTGCCTGAGTAAGAGAAGACTCGGCTCTGGAGACGTCATTCCGAGCCCGCATAATGGTAGAATATAGAAGAAGAGCCTGGACCATGTGAGGCGTTTTCTCTGAAGAGCCGTTTAGGGTAACCCAGGTGGACTCATGCAAGATATCATTATTGAGGACAACCGAGTAGTGGCTCCCTATGAATTTCACAACTTGGCGCAAATAGAACGGATAGTTCCATTTTTCGAATAATGAAGCAGGAACCAAGATCGGATGAGCTGAATGAAGATTTTCATAGAAAAGGCGGATGAGACGGCTTTCAGGAACGAATGACGCAGACGAAATTCCTTGAGTTGGAGGACCAGCTGAATGATCCAACTGGGAGGTTTGAGGAGCCATATATTCGCTTGTTGATAGGATCTCATTCATTGCTTCAGGACAAGTGTAACTGGAGGGATTTGCATCGGTGCCTGTGTCGGTTATCAAGCGCGTGGTATTTTTGAGCCTTCGTTTGACGCCTCGACGAGAGGGAAGAAAAACGCAATTGATTTGTGCATTTAAACATCGTGAGCATGAAGGTCTTTGAGCGTCGCATTTGAGGTGGTGTTTTCGGCATTCAGTGCAGGCAAGAGCCGAGGGACGCGTTTGCGAGTGCGTAGATAGTGATGGAGGCATTTCTGAGTCAGGTAACCAGAAATGCCTTCTTTTCTGCCAACTTCCCTCTTTCCTCCAAAGAAAGTAAGGGCAATGGATAATTAATTAAGCTTATATCTCGAGGAAGAATGATGGTCACAGTCAGGCCTCGGAGTTGCCACCGAAAAAAAAGGCCTGCTGGCGCACCGCGAGGATGACGGGAAGGGGGGGTCAAGTCACCTGATACTTGTCTCGTTTCGCCGCTAAGCCTTATTGACTGGCCCCTCGTAAGTTTTTTTCAAAAATTACGGGACCCTGCAAGCGAAGGTCCTCCACCTAAACGTAAAACGCCGGTTTTCTGGAAAGATACACTACAAGCCAGGTTTGCGATAAGGAGTTCTTCTACCCTATCGAGCTAGCCATAGGAGGACGAACTGGGCCGTTGGCAACCAAGACGAGACTCAAATTTTCTACCCCATCAGGTAACTTTATCAACCACAGAACATGGTGATAGTCCGCAATTTTCTATTTCTTGGGGCTGTTTTTTAGTTTCGAAACATGGATGGGATGGGCTAACACCCCTTTCCCTTGCTGCACGCACGCGCTCCCTTGAAATGAGAAAGGCACTACTTGAACATGGAGCTTGTGTTAATTCGAGAGATCTGCAAGGAAATTCCCTTCTACATCATGTTGTCGAAACAAACATTGACGTTGTGTTGAAGGCCCATAAAGTCATTTTACTGCTCATTCAACATGTGTACTCTCGATATTACTCCGAATGAACGCCTCTCCATGGAGCAGATGGAATAGACCAAGAGACCAAATTGGCAGGCAGCTGGAGAGTTATTAAAGCCGGAGCTGACGGGTACGCCGTGTCTATTGATGGAAAATTCCCACATTATATAGTCTCTGCTGTGCCTAGTGGGGATGGGAAGCTCGCAGAATAGGAGTGAGGGGTATGCAAAGTCTAAGCTGAGGCAGAGAAGTGCAGCGGATTGGAAATTAGGGGTAAGAAGATCCCGCGGTGACAAAATGGTATCCGTGCCTTCGCTCACCCACACCGCTTCCGCTAGTGGGTGCGCTTCACCCCAACGTTAATTTTCAGCCCAACGTAACTTTTGCCATTATTTATACCATTTACACGCGATCGCCAGTGGAATAAATAAAGAAGAGCCCCTTTAGTGACGCAGTAGGTGGTTGACTAGGGGTATCAACCAGCAGATTGCCCTCTAGACCCCTTCTGGTGTGAAAATGTCATGTTTCTTCGTGTTGTAGCTCAGAGGTATACCCGGCCCAGGGGCCCTCACCGCTCTCACGGTTCGGGCCCTCCCTGATCTAATTATAACCCTGGTCTAATTATCATTTTCTACCAACCATCTCTCTTCTACATTTATTTACCGACCATCACAATGCCTAAAAATTCTAAAGAAACCGAGGATCGACTCTCTGTTGCTTTGCGTGTGTATCATGAGCGCAAGAAACCAAAAATCGCACCGTTGGCGCGTGAATTTGGCGTTTCCTACCAGCAGCTGAGGGGTTGCGTTCGCGGTCGCAAATCTCGTTCGGAGCGTTCTGGCCCAAATAAGGCGTTGGATAATGCCCAGGAACAGGCATTAATTGCCTGGATAGGCATTCTAGATGATGCAAATATTTCGCCGACTCCGAAGGACATTGAAAGCTGTGCAAATGAAATTTTGGCGCGCAATGGTTTTGATCGACGCGTCGGTAAAAACTGGGCTTACGACCTCCTCAGACGCCTCCCCAGCGACTACAATCATATCATACAGAAGCCAATGGAGGCAGAGCGAATGGATGCCGAGAGACTACCGACAATAATCGATTGGTTTCATCGCTTAGGGGTAGCGCTAAAGCACTACAAAATTGGGCCAAAGAATATCTACAATTTCGATGAATCAGGCTTCCAACTTGGCCAGGGAAAATTCCAACGGGTAGTTACCAAGCACAAACGCAATAAAAAGTCTATTCCAACCGGTGGAGTTGGGGAAACAGTGACAGGAGTCGAATGCATCGCGGCAGATGGCTAGGTAATGCCACCTTTCTTCCTCTTCCGAGGCGCATATCATTTGGAGAATTAGTATCGTGAGCAGCCAGATTTACCAGGTAGTTATATCATTGCCACATCCTCTACCGGGTGGAATAATGAGGTACGCGCTTAGGGAACTATGTTAGGCAATATACTCATTATTATTAGGTGCGCGCCTTTCAATGGCTTCAACATTTTGACCAGCATACAAAATCCCGTCTTACACAGCGTGGGGATTATCGATTTCTTTTCATGGATAACCACCCATCACATATATGCTTCGACTTTATCAACTACTGCCAGAACCACAGAATTATTCCTTGGGGATTCCCTCCGAAGCTCACGCATCTCCTACAACCCCTGGACGGAAAGCCATTCCAGCAATACAAGCACTACTACCGGCAGTACAATAATAAGACTATACAGTGGGGTGGCTCTATTAAAGAGAAGGCAGATTTTCTTCGCCAAATCCATGCTATTCGCATGAAGACTTTCAAAGATACAACTATACGGCATTCATTCAAGCGCTGTGGGCTATGGCCATGTGATTCTGAAGTCATTTCCCAAGAACTTCGTGGTGAGGACGGGCCAGATCTAGTGGTATACGACCAGGGCAGGGAGTATGAGTTACCAGAGTGGAATTGCAATCACTTACCAGAGTATGGCCAAGAATCTAGGCCAGAAACTCCGCCGGCATCAAGCTCTACTATCAACTCACCACCAACGACGTTGACAAAGCTGCGACAAGATATTACTAAGGCCCAGAAGAGCATGGCAGCCCTTACAGAAGTCTCCGCAGCTGCTAACGCTGATGCAGCCAAGATTGCGCGGCATCTTGACTTCATTTTCGAAGGTAGCCTCACCCAGGCGGAATTAGCTGCCCAGACCACGGCAGATATGAGACGCATGCTTGCCAATAGGGAGGGGGCCCAGGCCCCTAAAACCCGCCGCCAAATTCGTACAGGGGGCCCTCTCTCTGTCAGGGATGCGAATGCCCTCATACAATCGCGGGATATTGTAGAGGCAGAGAAAGAGAGGCGGAAGTGGGCGCAGGATGCCAAGAAACAGTGCGATGAAATGCTGCGCAATGGCCAATTACAAGCCGCGGAGAATCAGAGAAGAGAGGCAGAGCTTAGATGGGAGACTGGACCGGACGGGGAGCTATTTTATTGTATAGACAGACAGGGTATGGTGCTGTAAATAGCTTCATCTGTGGGCAGTACTGGAATTTATGATAATTAGACCAGGGTTATAATTAGACCAGGGAGGGCCCGAACCGTGAGAGCGGTGAGGGCCCCTGGGGCGGGTATATTTTGGATACCCTCTTCCTCGAAAGCAATATCGCCGTTTCGAGGGAGAGCCGGGCTCTCGCCGCAACGGTTTCTTCTCGCCCGCCGCGGAACCCCTCTCTATATACCAAGTATCCTCCTGTATAGCTATATTCTCTCCTAGAAATACACGGAGTGCCACGGGGCCCGCCTGCAGCCCTCACGACGCTGTAGCCCTCCATCAACGAGTCCTTCATCGTCAGTGTTCAGACCGCAGGTGCCCCGTATAGGCCAAAAATTCTCATTCGTCTCCCTTTGTACCAGCGTAGCAATGGTTGGAATAGAATAAGAAATTACAATAACCGGGAGATTTACTAGTAAAGAGCCATAAAAGTGGGCCCAACAAGTGCAGTGTTATCATAACTGTGGATTTACCATAACCGGACGTAGCATAGGCGAGAGTTGACTGTGTATCGTCAGGGCGGGGCAGACTTGACAGAACGAAATGAGTTATCAGAGATTCTGTCGGCAGTCACCGATCGCAGGATACCATCTGCTGCCATAGAAAATACTGTGCATTTGTTCTCTTTCGAGTCTGTACCACGCACGGAGACGTCAGAATTCGTAAATAATGCCATCGTAATAATCGATTTGCAAATTGCCGATAGGAGCAGTGATAATGAAGCACCCACATAGTGGTATGCGGTGGCACCGATAAAGCTCCCCAAAAGCAAGTTACAGATGAAGAAAAATCTCCGGTTTCGCGATCGATTTTCGACAGCGAATATATGTGGGTCAACAAGGAGGTCGATGTATGCTGAGGTCACCATCCCTGTGGTAATTTCTGGAACGTTGACCGTTCTCGCGACTGCTATCTGCCCCCCACTCGCGAAAGCCAGCAATGAAAGTACCACAAGTGAGCCAGGAGTACCGTCATGCGTTGCGCATTTCCATCGCAGACCTGTCGCTACACAAACTAATGTCGTTTGTAACAGATTGGTGAATAAAAGCCAGAGTCGTCGTCGTGGGCCCAATGCATTGCCCATCTGGCCCAATATCATGCCACCAGCGATGAAGAGCCCTAGACTGACACCAACATTTTGAAGCTTCACGAGATCACCGCCAATATTCAAAGCTCCGACAGCAAGCAGAGCCGTGTTGCCAGTTTGGTTTGAGACGAAAACATGGTAATCAGGGAAGGTTGTCGCATCCATGATTCCTGTTGCCAGAGCAAGACCCATAAGTTGAAGTTCAAGAATTATATCATCCGCGATTTCACCACCAAAACGGAAACGTCTTCGATTTTCTGTGACCGGGCGAATAGAAACATCTTTTGCAGGCATGGCAAAGAACGAGGGGAATGGGCAGCGAGATTTATTATTCACCTTATTGGAAAAAAAGTGAATTTATGAAAACTCGAGCGTTCAGCAAACTCAGTTATTAACCAAAACGTCTGTCAACAATAATGGATAGGTCAGTGATATCACATGCGCCCAGGGGTACTGACGTCAAGCTCGCGGCGCGCCAATTTGATCCAGAGCACTGCCATGGACCATGGTCAAGATCTTATTGCTGAAGCGTGCGATAGATAAATTTTATTTGGTTAAACCTTTATTCTTTGGCTCTTAGTTATTATTGCTTTTTTTCACATTCAAACTCCATACTAGATTATATGGTTAATCATTTCGTAAACCGCTCGAAAGTCCTTTATGTCTCTCGTGCGAGATATTGTTAAATATGCCTCTCGTACGAGATTAGGGCCTCGACCCCTCACAAAACCCCGAGTGGAACCCCGAAACAGCAACCAATAACGTCATAGAAAGATCCACATAGGGTACCTTCGCAGTAACAGTCAAGGGTCGTCCCCACACCGCTGCGGGGTCCGCCGGGCCCAACGTGATTTTGGGGGCCCAACGTAACACTTGATACTATTCCTCCTCCATACACTCTATGTCACCATGGATAATTTGTATTCAGCTATTGAACAATGTTTTGTGGCCGCCTGTGAGGCCTCCAGACAGGAAAAAAATTGCTCCATTGGCGCGTAAATGGAGATCGGAACAGAACCAGGACTCAATATGTCGTTTGCCTTTGCAGATAATCAACGGTAGTAAGCACCACCCTAAGGCATTCATAGTTTCTACCGTGGTGAACCATTCACGGTTTTCTGGCTGTAAAACAGACCTTACCTTTGCGGTAGAAACTAGGACGGTCCCATCGCGAAGCCTGTCTCGTCGAAGTTGTATATATCGTCAGGTAGGATGCCACAGTTATTAATCGTGGCTTTCACGCGTTGAAACCACTCACATAATATACGTGGATCTTCTCATTCCGCGCGTGCATAGTTTTATCGACGCGAAAACCGCTTTTGAAGAGCTGGGGTACGTTTGATGTAGTTTCCTACCCAATTTACACCCATGGACCTAATATCTCCACAGTAGTGCCACATCAAGCTGCTATTTTAGACACAACAAAGACCATGATACATACAGTACACATAAATATTAACAGAAATATCCACCCAAATTAGGAAATTTCTTGGCAAAATTATGCACTCCAGGTTCCGACCTGTGGAACCGAAACCAGACCATGTCGTGGCCTAGTGTACAGTGGCGTTCCATGAGTTTGAAACACCCCCCCTTAATGACATAATATTCTGCCATCTTTTCTGCCAGCTAAAACATCGCCCGTTGAATAGCTAATAACTAGTAACGTGATTCCCGGCCGCCCGAGCGTCCCGGTCGCCCGAGCGACAGTCTTTAAAAAAAATTGCTTCTGTAACAATCTTTATTTTTAAACATTAACCATGCCACCAATTCGCCCTCAAAAATCTCAAAGATTGGTACAGCAAGAGGGACCCCTCTTATTAGCTATCAAAGCTATAAAGGATGGTCGATATGCGTCTGCCGCTGCTGCTGCACGTGCTTTTAACGTGCCAGTTTCTACCTTGAAGCACAGGATCAAAGGGCGACAATTCTGGAATGAATCTCGCCCCTCCGGCCATAAATTTACTGTGTTAGAAGAGAAGTCCATGGAAAATTGGTTTCTTTCTATGGACTCTCGGGGAGCGGCTCTCACGCATGCTATGTTGAGAGATCTGGCCAATTTGTTGCTCCAATCGCGTGAACTGACACCGTCCGACCCCGCTCCGAAAGTTGGCAAAAATTGGACCACATAATTTGTCAAGAGACACAAAACTCTCTCGTCTCGCCTTTCTCGTAAATACAATTATGAGAGAGCCCCTTCTGAGGACCCTCGGCTGATTGGATCTTGGTTCCACCTTGTCGAAACCACCATCCAAAAATATGGTATTACATCTGATGATATCTACAATTTTGATGAGTCTGGTTTTGCAATGGGAATCAAGAAAAAAATGGAAGACAGCGATATATATCTATGGCAGATGGTGCTGCAGAATCACCAGCAGAACCTGGATTACCCCCTCTACGTACCATACGGCGCCATGTCACCTGTTCTGGCTGCGGAACCAAAGGGCATACTTATTCTCAATGTCCTCATAAAGTTATTTAACGATTATTCCTATGTTAATGTGTTGATATTTGAAATTGTAAATTGACCAAATTCCAAGTTCTCGGAGCATCGCTCGCGCGGTTATAGCACGCTGGCCGCGCGGCTTAGCTTGGCTCCGCGAGTGATAAATCAAGAAACACGAGTGCAATTAGGTTTTTGCCTTGGAATCGTCTCAACCAGTAGGATACGCGGAGCCGGCTCGGTTCGCGTAATATCTTGGAAGATCGAGTCCTAGTTGGTTGACCCGTGCATTCGCGATGATGAAAACGTGACGTGCTACAGTCCAAGCTTCTCCGGTTTCAGAACAAACTCTGCGGGCTTGGATTGCTCTTATACTGTGACCCCAGCTCTTTTGGAGAAATGAACCCTCCAAGACCAAACTTCCAGTGCTTATAGCAAATTCTACAACACGCCTAGACTTCGCTCTAGACAGAAATGGCCAGCACAATTGCCAGCGGGTTGAACAAGGCCCAGGAAGCACTTCAGTCTGTATCCTCCAAGGATAAAAATAAAGTGGATCTCTCTCGTGACATCGTGGATGTTCATAATAGCCAGCAGCCACAGACGACGGATCATGGTGTTCGCATTGAAAATCCGGACAACTGGCTAAAGGTCGCAACCGACCGTCAGACAGGGCCATCTCTTCTTGAGGACCAGATTGCTAGAGAAAAGGTGAAGGCACTCCTTATTCGAGGCTTAGATCCATAATTTCTGACTGGGATACTGGTGTAATTAGATCCACCGTTTTGATCATGAGCGAATCCCCGAGCGAGTTGTTCATGCTCGTGGAACAGGTGCCTTCGGCAATTTCACTCTCTACGAGAGCGCCGAGGACGTCAGTCATGCTGGTATTTTGACTGACACTTCTCGCAATACCCCTGTCTTCGTTCGCTTTTCAACAGTGCAAGGTAGCAGGGGTAGCGCCGATACAGTGAGAGACGTCAGAGGTTTCGCCGTCAAATTTTATACAGACGAGGGAAACTGGGATATTGTCGGAAATAACATTCCTGTGTTTTTCATTCAGGATTCGATCAAGTTCCCCGACTTTGGTATTTCTTCCCCTAAATCTGATTCGGTTCGCAATCGCTAATATGGCTGATAGTGCATGCCGTCAAACCTGAACCTCATAATGAAGTTCCGCAGGCTCAAACTGCACACAACAACTTCTGGGACTTTGTCTATCTTCACCCTGAAGCAACCCACATGTTTATGTGGGCCATGTCCGATCGAGCGATCCCCCGTTCATATCGTATGATGCAAGGCTTTGGCGTGAACACTTACAGCTTAATTAACAAGGAGGGTGAACGTCATTTTGTGAAGTTCCACTTTATCCCTAAGCTCGGCGTCCACTCTTTCGTGTGGGATGAGGCTCTGAAGCTTGCTGGTCAAGACCCTGATTTCCATCGCAAGGATTTGATGGAAGCTATTAATAACGGCGCGTATCCCCAGTGGGACTTCGCCATACAAACCATTCCCGAGGAAAGGGAACACGACTTCGAATTTGATGTTCTAGATGCAACTAAGGTTTGGCCAGAGGAACTAGTTCCTCTTCGCCGTATTGGAAAACTCGAGTTGAACAGAAATGTGGACGAGTTCTTCCCACAAACCGAACAAGTGGCATTCTGTACTAGCCACATCGTCCCTGGCATCGATTTCTCTAATGATCCTCTGCTCCAAGGTCGCAACTTCTCCTACTTTGATACTCAAATCAGTCGATTGGGAATCAACTGGCAAGAACTGCCTATCAACCGGCCTGTCTGCCCAATGATGAACTTCAACAAGGATGGCGCGATGCATCATAGAATCGACAAAGGCACCGTCAACTACTGGCCAAACAGATTTGATGCTCTTCCTCCCGCTAAGAAGGAAGAAGGAGGGTTCATATCGTACCCAGAGAACGTGGCCGGCATCAAAAAGCGTGCGCTCAGCGAGAAATTCCGCGACCATCACAGTCAAGCGCAGATGTTCTATAACTCAATGTCCGAACACGAAAAGGCACACATCTTGAAGGCTTTCACATTCGAGCTCGACCACTGTGATGACCCAATCGTATACGAGCGTATGGCGGGCACTCGACTCGCCGAAATTGATCTGAAACTTGCTCAGCAAGTCGCAGAGCTAGTCGGAGCCCCCATCCCTCAGAAGCAGCTCATGCCAAATCCTGGGCACCGCGCAAAGGGTCTGTCACAGACTGAGTTTCCGCCCGAGAAGCCTACTATTGAGAGCCGTCGCATCGCTATCATGATAAGTGACGGCTACGATCGTGTTGCCTTCGAAGGTATGATGATGGCGATCAAGGCAGCGGGAGCACTGCCCTTCGTGATCGGAACCAAGCGATCTCCAATATATGCTGATGGGCAGTCCCCTAGAAACTCGGATGGAGTTGTTGCAGATCATATGTACGATGGAATGCGCTCAACTATGTTTGATGCTACATTTGTCCCAGGTGGATCCCATATTTCGACCTTGTCGAAGAATGGCCAAATTCGGTTCTGGATCGTGGAGAGCTTTGGGCATCTCAAGGCTCTCGGAGCTACCGGCGAAGCTGTCGACTTCTTTAAGCAGGTGCTGGGCAAGTCGATAGATGTCCAGCTTGCGTCCTCCGATTCAACCGACCCTGTCGAATGGTACGGGGTCGTCACCGCTGGCAAGACACATCCAGATAGTTTCAAAGAGAGCTTCCAGATTGCAAAGGCGGCCAAGGACTTTGTGGGACAATTCTTCTACCAAACTTCTCTGCACCGGAACTACCAGCGTGAACTGGATGGTCTCAGCGCGGCGTTGGAGTGGTAAGTGAATAAATTGACTAACGGGCCTTGAATTCTCTTTTTTCTCTCGCGTCTTGAGGCACGTGAATGATATCATTTCTGTCTATACATATGACGCGAGACAGAAAGATAGTACTTCGGTCTATTCTTCCTCCGTTTTGAATAATCAATATTCTTCCCTCAACAATTAATTGTTACATAATTTTATTTTTCTTTCCTCTCTTCCTTGAAGACTCCTTCCGACAATATTCTTCTCCTCTAGTCTCATCTTCGCGATCGTCTCGATCCGGTGTAAGACTGATCTGTTCCTTTGATCGGATTATAGAGCGGACTAGAGACCTGAAGCATGGTGCCTAGAGCTCTTCTACCATCTTGTGGTTTTTTCCACTTAATCCGTCATCGGTTTGTAGGCATCGAGTTTGGCAAGATGGGGGAAGAAGGGTGTGCTAGGCGGCTCAATGATGATTTGTATAGGGAAGCAAATGGTATGCCCCCTTGAGCACCGTGCGAGTGGGGGCGGACCCATAAGCAAGTATGTTATTGGATGTTGGTGATATCCCTCGAAACACCTACTGTACTGCATCTTTTAGCGTATGCACACATGCACACAGCCACATGCGTGACACCCCGAGGTCACATGCAATTTGTTGTGATATGAGGCTGATGCAGATCAGGGACCAAGTGTTACGTGCCAGGAAGCAGATCAAATCAACTTGTGCATTTCAACGAAAGTATCAAGACTGGAGAGAGAAAAGAAGAGAAGGAAAGTCTCTAGCTGAAGTTTCTCTCCTGGAAAACCTCCTTCTTGCCCGATCGGGCAGCCTTGCCTCCTGCGTCCCTGCCTGATGTCTCAGGCCAACTAAGTTCAAATCGCATAAACATCTCAGATCGTCACATAAGTTCAAATTCTTCCTTACAAAGGATTGGGAGCAGAAGTGGCGTGATACCTATCGCAATTCCTTTTAACAGGCACTTATTCTATACCAAGAGCAGCTCTTAACGCTTAACGTAATTCACAAGCGAGCGGCCCACCCAAGCGAGCGGCCCACCCAGCCATTTTTTCGCGTCCACACGCGTCCTTCTATTTTCTACCAACCACCATGCCTCCAAAACGTGCTCAATCAAGCCGAAATTCTATCGAGCAAGAGGGCCGCCTCGAATTAGCTATACAGGCTATAAAAAACGAAGAAATCACCTCTATCCGCGAGGTAGCACGTCGTTTTAATGTGCCTCGTACTACCCTCCGCATGCGCATTACCGGCCGCCTATTTCGCCCTCAAACACGCGCCAACAACCATAAACTGACCCAAACTGAAGAGGAATCGCTTAAGAAGTGGATATTATCAATGGATACGCGTGGAGCAGCCCCTAGGCCAGCTATGGTGCGAGAAATGGCGAATCTTTTGCTTGCAAAGCGCGGTTCAACCCCAATCCAGACGGTCGGCGAAAACTGGGTCACAAACTATGTCAAAAGACAGCCAGAGCTAAAGACTCGTTTTTCACGTCGATACGACTCTCAGCGAGCAAAACAAGAGGATCCAAAGGTTATTCAAGAGTGGTTTGATCGCGTACAAACTACAATTCAGCAATATGGTATCCTACCGGAGGATATCTACAATTTTGACGAGACTGGCTTCGCGATGGGCCTTACAGCGACCGCAAAGGTTATTACCCGAGCAGAATACTACGGTCGGCGATCAGTTTTACAGCCAGGAAATCGCGAGTGGGTGACTACAATCGAGTCAATTAGCGCTTCTGGGTGGGCGCTTCCGCCCACGATTATCTTTAAGGCCAAACTACATAATCTAGCTTGGACTGAGAACCTTCCGAGAGATTGGCGCTTTGAAGTTAGTCAAAATGGATGGACGACAGACGAGATTGGCCTTCGATGGCTTCAAAAGCTATTCATACCATCAACGAATAGCCGTACGCATGGCCGATATCGATTATTAGTCCTTGATGGGCACGGTAGCCATCTTACGCCCTATTTCGACCAAATTTGCTCAGAAAACGAGATTATCCCTATTTGTATGCCAGCGCATAGCTCGCATCTTTTACAGCCACTTGATATCGGTTGTTTTGCGGTTTTAAAGCGCTTATATGGAACCTTGGTTGATCAAAAAATGCGGCTTGGCATTAACCATATTGACAAGTTTGATTTCCTCACTGCCTACCCAAATGCTCGCGATAGCGCTTTTCAAGCGCTTACAATAAAAAATAGCTTCGCAGCAGCGGGTTTAGTGCTATTCGATCCAGAACGAGTGCTTTCAAAGCTTAATATCCAGCTTCGGACGCCTACACCCTCAGGAAGCCGCCCAAGTAGCCGATCAAGTGTTTTTACCCCTAAAACACCAGCGACCGTCGCCGAATTGCTTAAACAAGGAGCGTCAATCCAGGCTTTCCTTAAACGACGCTCAAATAGCCCCCCATCGCCCTCGCAGACCGCGCTAAACCAGCTTATCAAGGGCTGCCAGCTCGCTATGCAGAATGGTATATTACTTGAGCAAGAAGTTAAGGAATTACGGGCTGCCAACGCAGCGCAGAAGCAAAAGCGCGCACGGGTTAATAGACGCATAGCCTACGAAGCTGGTATGTCAGTGCAGGAAGCTCAGGAGTATTTACAAACCCATGAGCCTATTATACAGCCTACTGCACCGTCTCCAGCAGCCCCTAGCCAGCCTATTCAGCAAGCGGTAGCACCAGCGCGACGACGTCAATACACCTGTTCTATATGCGGTGAGAAAGGGCATAAGTCCCCCACATGTCCAGCTAGGTAGAATAATTAATATAAAGGCGTTGTGGTTGAAAAAACTAGATGTAAAATGAAAGTAGGTGGTTAGGTGGGCCGCTCGCTTGTGTGGGCCGCTCGCTTGTGAATTACGTTAGCTAGTCCTTAGATGGATCTCGTTTAGTTATTCCGTTAAGCTCGAAGTTAGATAAGATATTAGATGAGAGCCAGATACAACCAGATATAGCTACTGATGAAATAACCCAATATCTTGATAGTGGTATGTTTTATACTGATTCTTTACTATATTATACTAACGTACTTACATAGCGAAAGTCACACTCTTCCGCGCTCACAGGACAAACATCGCGATAATCCCACCAGAACGCCTTAAATTAATTGAAATTACTAAAAGTCCTTTTCCTCAGACGTCTCTATTACAATCTGACAGGTGCACGCGTTATGTCCCGTCTCGCCGCAGTTGCCACAGCGCCGCGCGCGCGTTTCTTCCCTTGGTTTCCGACTACTACTTGCTTGTGTTTCCTACTTTAGCTGCTGCATAAGGTCCCTCTCATCCTGTAAATCTTGAGCTTCCTGTTGGCTAAGCGATCCTCCTTGCCGAAGGCGTGTTTTTTTAGCCCTCCGGCGTTTGCTTAGCTCTTCATTTGCTTGTCGGAGGATCTGAATCTCTGACTGCAATAACGCCAACTTGTGCATAATCTTCGACGTCCCTTTCGTAAACTGGTCGGCAGCTTCATAAATTGAAGCTGGGGAGCTATTATGATGACAGGCAATACGATTCTTGATGAAAGTAGTCTGCGAAGTGGCTTCGATTGGGTTGTTAGGCGTCTGAGAAACCCAAGGCTCGGCGGTCCCAGAGCGGGAATTTGTAGGTGTTGGCGTCTTCAACTTAAGATCTAGTGTAGAAACCACATTCTCAGGGTCAAATGGAACAAGTCCAGCACCTCGAAAACCTCCTTAGATGTTGCTTTCCGTCATTGCAGCAGAAAAGGCGTTGCGAAAGGCGGGGAAGAAGTCGTCCTTGGTAATGTGGGTGATGTGAGCCCGCATCATATCCTCGATGTGTCGGCCATATGCCTTCTTCAATGGGCCAAAGCACCCAATATTGAGTGGCTGAAGAATATGAGACGAATGAGGAGGCATACAAAGGGTGATAATGTTGCTTCTTTTGCAGTATTCCTCGAATTCTTCCGAATGGTGGCTCTCATGGCCGTCAAGGATCAAGAGGCGATAGCTACCCACAGTCCGGGGCCTAGTATGCTTCTCAAAATGACAAATCCAATCCACGCCTTTCTCATTTGTTGTCCAACCGTTGTCGGTAACAGCGATCACCCAGTCGGGTGGGAAACCGCTGTTTTGGTACCAAGACGAGAGGTGATTTTTGCCTGCAACAATGACAAATGGCGGCACTGTCCAGCCCTGTGAATTAACGCCCTGAATTACTGTGACCCATTCACGATTACCAGGCTGTAGCTTTTTTGCCTTTACACGTCCGTCTGAGCTTGTGACAACTGTTGCGGTAGAGATAACGCCCATCATAAACCCCGTCTCGTCAAAGTTGTAAATATCTGACTCCGCAATACCATACTTCGCGATTATATTGCGCACAAGCTCAAACCAGCCATTAATGATCACTGGATCTTCGCATTTGGCCCTCTGGTAGTCATATTTCCGCTGGAAGCGCGTTCGCAGCTCTGGGCGGCGATTAATGAAGCTGGAAGCCCAACGCGTCCCGACGTGTGGCGCGTCGCGGGTCGCGAGAAGTCGATTTGCCATATCTCCCACAATAGACACCCGGGGAGGAAATCCTTTGGCAGCTAAGTCGAGAATAAATTGAAGTTCATGTTGAGATAAGTGATAGTCTGATTGATTCTTATTGATTGACTTAAGGAGTTGTTCTTTACAGGGGCGGGATGCCTCATATATATCACTCCCCAATCCCTGCAGTAAGGTTCAGCCACCGTGATACTCAACAGTGATACTCAACAATTTCAGCGAATACGAATGCGAATAACGAATATTCGTAACGAATACGAATATATTCGTTATTCGTGCCGAATTGAACTTGTTGAGTATCACGGTGGCTGAACCTTACTGCAGGGATTGGGGAGTGATATATATGAGGCATCCCGCCCCTGTAAAGAACAACTCCTTAAGTCAATCAATAAGAATCAATCAGACTATCACTTATCTCAACAGGTTATGAGCCCGGGTGGCGCAACCTTTAGGCGCGCGGCTTGGGAACAGAAATTCAAACAGACAACCTTTTGACTGCC